CATCATTTCATCCGGTGCTTTAGGTAGGAGAATGCTAGCTTCAGAAGAGAAATCTTGAGGGGTTTGTGGACACCTGCCTAAGCTGACGACTCTGTAATAACTGTATTATTTTATCGATAGCCGCGCCCTTCATGCAGTGGTCGGGTTTAAACGTTGCTCAATCCCCCGGAGTAGGATGCCTTGAAAATGATTCGTCAGTTTGCTGCTATTGTAGGAAGACTAAAGAGCAGCAGCCGAACACAGAATACCCAGCTCTCGTATGTAATACGAGACCTGGAGGTGTGGACACACCGCTCCCCGCGGAAGTAATGTGAGAACAGTAGATGAAGTATTTAGGAAAGTCCAAATAGTCGCTGCATCATGGATCAGAATACTGAGTGAACGTCTACCGATATGGTTATAAAACATTACATCTGTCACTGTATTTTGTGAGAGGGGTCAATTCAAATACTCAACGCGAGGCAGCCCAACTAAGCCACGTTCGTTGACAAAGACCAGTTGCCCAGAATAACCAAAAGGTAACGTATGCCTACGAAATGTAGGGATGGCGGTTAATACATTCCACTTGTCAATTCCAAGTCTGATTTCTACGGCCGCTGAAACGAATTCGTCTATTTCTACCCACAATACCAAAGTGTTCATTTTTCAGCCTCTGATAGGGAAGGTTAAAGTCAATCCGCCCAAAGAAACCATACCTAAGCAAGGAATCTACTCAACCCAAAAACAATCATGTTCCGTTCTATGCAACATACATCGGCAGGCATTCTTTAGGTTCACTGCTGTCTCCCCGAAACTGTTGTGCATCGTGTCCGTAAAGTAGCCATTGCATTGTGTATGACCCTAGAAAGCGACCTGCTTCCTAGGATAAACAGCGGAGGGGTTGCAATCAGGGTGCCTCAGAATTACAAACAGCTGAACTCGGAATTCCCACACATTCCCCAGTAAACTGCAGTTGTGACACTGTAAAAAACACCTCTTTCATAGAGATTCCCTGTGACAGAAGATACAGGTGCCTCTATCGAACACTTAAGTGAGAAAAGTTCAAAAACACGGAAGGTTACCACACAAATGAGAATAATGATAATCTCATGCGATCGTACTCCAATCATCGTGCGCTCATCACAACCACAAATATCCAGTATGGATGTGCGTGACGCAGCGCTATCCCAGCCAGATTGGGTATACTGCTAAGATGGATCCTATCACGAGTGTATGTCGATGACACCGATCCACTCAAAACTCATTTCTTCTGAAATGCATGCATGAACTCCAATCATGCCACTGTTCTTGCGCATGTTGTTGCTATTTTTCTTGCGATCCAGATAGAAAGTATTCGTCAGCCTGACATCCACTGCCTGCAGTCGATTAACAGCTGTTCAGGTATTGCTTCAAACCCCAAATGCAGAAAAACTGACTTCAGGACTAGCATTACGCAGAGCCGTGTTTTTATTTTGTTAAGGAGGGTGACCGCATCAATTTGACAAGTCTCTGAAAACTAGCTTAATCCAGTCTGGAAACCAACCTAGAGAAATGTGGCCAAAGGTTGCTGGATGAATTGGTAGGGCGGACACAACTGGAAGAAGGTCACACTCTCTTCGAACTTATCAGTAACGCCGGCGGAAGTAAAATACTAGTCAACGACATCATCATCTCCCAGCTGACATTATCTATTGTCTATCTAAATAGACGATAGATGAAACGTAACTGACATCAAGTGCTCAGCGTAATGATCAAAGCATAGGCGATCTGAAAAACAGGATCGATAACGTACAGGGAAGAAGTACCCGGTTCCAACTGTCTCTTATACTCAATTGAAGGACAGAGATCTCCTTCATGAATTGGCTCGCTAACACCGGCCATAACAAAAGGCTAAAGACCATGAGGAGTTCCGTCTGGGTTGTACATTGTTATATATTCTGTGACAACCTGAACGCACACCATTATACATATCGAAAGCTAACAATTGTTGACACCTTAAATCCAAAGACAACTTGGTTACCTACCCTATTTTATAACAGTGTCTCCTCTGACGATATTAAAACCACCTTCAGCACATTTCTGTTCACATAGGTGCGAAAGTGCACGGAGGGTAATTTCCCGAGTTCATCACCATCACTGTAAGTTAGACAGAGACTACTCAACCGATAACACCTGTGCCTTCGAAGTATTGCTTACGTACTATGGAAAAATCGGATTAGCAATTCAGATGTGCGGCTACTTCGTTTCGTTGATAAATCAAAAGTTGTAGATCTGGTTAAGTTATTTTACCGCACCAAATTCGCTGTGCTTCGTTCACCACGTGGTCAATAGAATATTCTTACCCCGTTTAGGATTGGAAGGCAATAAAATGGAACAAAGAACGATGTGTAGACGAAACGTGAAAGGCGTGAGATATCGGGTCTTAGTCGCTTTGATAGCTAGGGTGTTAGATACTCAGCTCTCCAGTCGTTGGAGATATTGACCGAGATATATTCAATGTTACGTCACGAAGAGACTGGATCTTACCGTGGTGTGACGGTTTGCGGCCCTCAGCGATCCATTGAGCTATACTGGGGAATGTCCCGCGACACTCACAGAGTCTCTCATACCAAGTTGCTCAATCAGTCTCCTGGCTGTCCACGTTGGGGGTTGGAACATGTGGCGACTTGTTCCGTAGAAATGCATTTGCATTTCCCGCCAAACACCACTGCCTTGCCCTTAGGCTTTTGAGACAAAGGCTTTGGTTGAGGACCCTAATCGTCCTCTTGTCTAGGTGTGGGCAGTATCCCAGCCCACGTACAACCATGAACTGCACATATACAAATAAACTCGTGCCACATCGGCCGTCGCGTGGTACCGTCAGCCGGGTCGCCTTACTTGCTGCATACAGCAGGGCGGGTAAGCAAAAACAGGCTACTGTTGACGCCTCCCTTCTTTCTCTTTCACACACTCTCTTCCCCCTCTCCCCACCCCATTGATAACTCTCTCCTTGAAGGCCCAGCACTTATGACCTGATGACTCCGCTCGTCATGCATCGGTTTTGCGTGCAGCATCTGCTCGTCACATTGCGCTGACATGTTCAGGTATCTCTAAATCAGTCCTCAAGCCTCGACACCCACTCTATCTGGCCGCGTCCAATGTCCGCACTTTGAAGCAAGCAGGACAACAAGCTGATCTTGCACCCACACTGGACTCGCTTGGCATTGATGTGTGCTGTGTCTCAGAAGCAGAATTTCAAGATGCAAGCACAGTGACTGAGTTAACCTCTGGTGATCCAGAGGCTGCTGTACCGGGATATACAGGTTTTGGTTTTGTCGTAATTCACCGGGCGGAAGTATCCTTACTTGACTGGATACCCGTTGATAGTCGCCTCTGTGCGGTTCCTCTGACAACGTCTGTGAAGAAGTCTCACAAGCAGCAAGTTGATAGATGTCTATTTATCATGTCTGCCTACACCCCAACTAACTGTAGCTCCGACGCCGTCAAAGACAGGTTTTACGACACCCTGAATGCCTTGCTGCGGCGAGCGAGAAGCTCAGACATTGTGGTGGTTGCCAGAGATATGAATGCATATGTGGGCAGGTTAAGTTCATCTGAGACCCAAGTAGAGGGTCGACATGGATTGGACTCGGTACGTACGGACAATGGAAAACGATTGCTTCAGCTGTGTGTTGATCACAGGCTCTTCTTATGCAGTATCAACTTCCGAAGTGGCCGAAGTCGTCTGGCCACATGGTGTCCTCCAACGGCAGGCCGGCCACAAACTCAAATCGACCACATTGCCATCAGTTACCGATGGCGCGGATCAATAACTGACTGTCGGTCGTTTTGGAACACATTTGTGGACTCTGACCACGTACTCGTCCGGAGTCGCTTCTCCCTACGTTTCACGGAGTCGCGTAAGGTGTGGACGAATCGCCTTGCAACTGAAAGGCTGGCAGATCCGGATGTCAGACGAACTTACAAGAATCATTTTATAGAGTCTCTTCCAAATGTTCCGCCATCAGATGTGAACTATACTGAGACGAGCTTGCCACCACTTTGCATAAAACTGGGAATTTTGCCTGTGGCACGACCCAACCAGGCGCACCCAAGCACTGGATATCAGACCGAAAGGTGACACTAATTAAATCTCGAACATAACCCGGTGCGAGGAGTTATCAAACGTCAAATGAAAGTGAGCGTGCGAGCCGACCGTGAAGTATGGTGGACACAGAAAGCCCAAGAAAGGGAAGAGGCCCAGAAAGCCGGGCCCAAGAACAGATCATTTCAGTCGATCCGTGCGACCGGGCCCCGGAAACCACCTGTGAGTGAAACCATGAAGCATCTCGAATAAGGAAGAACTCCTCGAACGGTGGGCTGAATAATTTGAACAACTGTCGTGGCCATCACCTGGCACTCATCTAGAGCTCACAGGTGAAGTAGAACCATGAACGGTGAATGTGGAACCACCTACGGCCTCGGAGGTTTACGACTAAATATGTCCTCTAAAACGCCACCGAGCTCCTGGTCCGGATGACCTCCCACCCGCACTGTTCAAATACGGGGGTGAAGTCCTCAGTCCGATCTGTCTGCTTGCATTGCGGAAAGGGAGTCTGTCCCAGACAACTGGGGAGAATCGGTGATAATGCCCGTTTCCAAAAAGGAGCGCGTAGTGAGTGTGGTAACCACAAAGAGATCAGCTTGACCCCCTTCATAACGAGACTGTTGAAGTCGATTGTGCTTCGTCGCCTTACGGTGGCTCGTGAGATACTGACTCGAGAGAAGCAAGCGGGATTCCGGCCTGGTAGGGGTTGCGTTGACCAAATCTTCACACTTCGTCAGGTGCTAGAACAACGCCATACGTATAAGCGACCCACAATTCTAGTATTCCTGGATTTCCAGGGCACTCTTTGTATTCTAAGACTTCCGGATTTGTAGGAGAATACGACGGGCTCTACTAAAGCTTCCGCACACAAAGCGGTGTCCGTCAGGGATGCCCACTCTCTCCATTCCTTTTTAACTTTGTGATCGATGAAATAATGAGGCGAACGCTGGAGGGTCTCCAAAACCCTGATGTTCAAATAGCCCGTGAAAGAAACCTTGTCGATCTGGAATATGCAGACGACATCGTTCTCATGTTCGAAGAGAAGGAGAATGAGCAAGTATTATTGAATGAACTGACCAAAGTCATCTCGTCCTTTGATATGTACTTTGCACCTACAAACTGTAAGATCATGTTCGTTGGCGTCCAGTCACTGAACACGCGACTTAAATCAAGGGAGAGGTACTGGAAGTTGTGGAGCGTTTTACGTACCCTGGAAGTCGTATTAGTTTTGATTGTAGCGTGGCAGGTGAGGTGAATGCACGAATCTGCAAGGCTCGGGCCGCGTTTGCTAACTTGAGACACCTATGGCGTCAGAATGGTTTATCCCTGAATCTGAAGGGACGTGTGTATCAAGCTACAGTACGGGCTGTCTTGTTGTATGGCTGTGAGA